GGAGGAAGGTTGTTTTGGTTCTAAGTACATTATTAAATGTTCCTTTCCTGCTTTGGCTGAGGTGCAGGGAGGGGGCCGGCTGGCGTGGAGACCCAGCAGCAGGTCGAGTTAGCCGTGTTTGTCAAGGATACTGTGACAGGCAATGGAGCTGCTGAAGGGAATCAAGCCAGTTCCCTCCAGTTGGAAGCTGACCTCAGTAACCCCTAGGCCATCCTGCTGCCCCCTCCTCACTCCCTCACCACCCCTCATCCTTGCCTGTGACCTTCACCTAGCTTTCCCACCCTCCAGATGAGGCCCCATGTAACTGCATTTCAAATAATTTATTGAACTGTCATGAAGTTCACATAGCTTTAGTTTCTATCCATTATACAGAAAACAAGATACTCAAAACACCTTATTAGGCAAGCTTTTTTTCAAATTTAATAAAAAGGATCTGCAATCATGTTTGAATTCAAAATTTTCAGTATAAGCACAGCAAATGATGCCTTGCTTTGTGTGTTCCTAAATTAACTATCTACCTATCTGTTTGCTCACTTTGTAAAACGTAATTGTAATGTTAGCTTGGCCCTTAAGTGAAGCAGTTGCAATTTAAAAGAACACAAAAGATTTACAATTGGTGGGGAGCGAAAAGCAGACGGGAAAGAAAAAAAGATGGGAAGAGTTGGGAGCTAGCACAGCCAGCGGGCTTACTTCAGCATTCCACTAGTTGAACATTTTAGAAGTCATCACTTTATCGTCATCATGGTCTATCAATATCCCTCTATGCTGCTTGCATTATATTTTCATGCAGTTTTATAAACAATCAATTTCCTGAATGACAGGACATTTGAGAGCCTCACTATTTTGCTTGTCCATATATCAAATATAACCAATCTCTTTACAAAATTGTTTGCCTTGATCCTCATAGAAATGATTTAACACTTAAAAACAACACTTGAACATAGCCATAACATATGTTTGTATTCATTCAAACTAGATTTTATTTTAAAGTGACCTGCATCTTATAAACTTTGACTAAAAATTACAAGCAAATAACATATCTTATGGCAGACATTTTGAGTTGTCATAGCAGGAGAAGAAGAGGTGGAACAGATAATGTTTATGGTTGCTAATGTCTGTATCTCACTAATCCTTTCCAATGAGCCAGCATGCACAATACTTGGAGACATGGGAACACTAAATGAAATGTCTGAAGAGTCTTTGTTAATGTTATTAATTACACCAGTGCATTTCCTGCTTGTCAAAACATGTCAAAATGCCTGCCATGAAAATGTTCTATTGTCTTTATGAACAATTCCAGACATACTTGCTTTATGAATGCGTATGTGACGCATTACAAGCTTCATATCACAAAAACAGTTAAGTTGAGTTAATTTTTGTGTCTGATTATACAACACTGTTTTCAACTGTCTTCCACATATTATTTATATTCAACATTCTTAAATTCATTGTTGCCATCATCTAATCCCTAATTGCTCCAATCTATTTTGTTTTTTGTAGTTTCACCCCATATGACAAAGAAAAAAACTATTTCCATCCTTCTGTTTGACATGAACAACCTTACAAATGGACTTTAATGCCATCACATATGAAAGCTGTTTGGCACAAATGATTTTGTGTGTACATTTTTACTTTTACTTTTTCTTTTTTTACTTTTATCTTGATCCCCAAGATTAAAAAAATGCTGTTTTTAGTGATTAAGCTGACTTTCCTGTTCCTGGAAAAAAAGGATGAGAAACACAGGGGGAAAGAGAGAGTGAGCAAGAAAGAGAAAGAAAACAGCAGGATTCATATCATATTTCTCCTCAGCGTGACTCCCTGATATCTGTTGGCCTTTCCAGCCCTCTCAAAGGCACCCTCCATCAGCATCCTTCCATCATCCCCTACTTCTTCTTTCTCAAGCTCAGGTTTTATCTGCTTCTGCTCTCTCCGATTTCAGTCATTGGAAATTAGAGTAGAGCACAAACCAGCATGCAGCAGGGAGAAAGGAAGAGAAAGAGAAAAGGAAAAAAGAAAGAAAGAAGATGGGACAGAGAGGGAGAGAGTAAGCATGAAGACAGGAATAATAAAAGCAGTATGGGGGCCATAGCTTCTAGCTGTGTCTGTGAAACAGCAGGAAACAAAGAAGAGAAAACAGCTTAAGGAGTTTAGGTTTTCACACAGATAAACAGATAAACAGTTCACACACACTGTGCATTCACTAGGCACAGACCTACAGTAGCTTTATGTGGTTCACCAGAATCACATTGCATAATATATATAGTAATCTTTTAAAATCCCATTGTCTTTTGTTCAAGGTGATGGTGGTGAAGTCATGATGCAATTCTTTTTATAATATCACTATTGGACTTCTTTGTTTTTTGCATTGCATGACATGATCACTTTAGCTAATAGAAAAACAGAATCTATATCAAAATAATACAGTTGCAGAAAACTTTGTTCATTACAAATTCAAATATATATAAAACAACCAGAAAACTCGAAGCACCATTTTCCTGGAAAATGCTTAATTTCCAGGGATCTTCAACATTTAAAAGATACACGGTTCAAACCAGGCCTGAGGGTTATTTCAACTCAGATAGATAACTGGAAAATTAAATTATAAAACTTAAGTTTTGTACAAAACGAGACGGTTAATGTGGCTGCAAGACACCCATCAAAACTAATGTCAAGAATAAATTGGACTTGCCGATCTAAATACACAGATTGTTTGTCAGTTATATGGCTGAATGGGTGATCCTAATCCTTGAAAGACCTCATGGTGGCCATTACATACATATGAGTATGAGCCTAAATCCATGGGTCGTTAATTAAACAGAATTTCCTCTCAATAACGCACTGTCTGGAATCCAGCAGCTAGCAAATGAACGGCTGATGGGAGACTAATAAATGACTAGCAGCTGCGCATGATGTCAGTAATGAACACTGAGGGATGGGAGGAGAAAAGTGAAAAGAGAGAATGGACGAATAAGAATCGATGCTTATTTTAGATACACATATAGGTCGTAAGTAGGTTACCTATTTTGCTTGTTGTAGATACACATAAGATGTCAGTTTAACCTGGGTAACTTCTATTATGGCCAGGTAAAATGGCTGGTTACTGTAGCACATAAACACCGAAACACCAACATATGAATGAACAGAAGAGATGATTACATGTCACTTTCTATCCTTCTAGATGAAAGGTGCAAAATCTCCTCAAGGATAAAGTTTTTAGGAGATAAAGGAAAAGGTGAACGGAAAAAAGTCAGTTTAAAAAAGACACTAGAGAGAGAAACAGAGAAAGATAAATGAAAACAATCAGAGGAATAGAAAATGGAGATAATGCTGAAGAAAAAAATAACAGCAATGATTAAATATTCAGATGTAGTAGAAGATGTAGTACAAAGAGAAACCAGGGAGAGGGATGGAAAAAAGGATAAAACTATTCAAAAGAAACATGTTTAAGAAATCAAAACAAGTTATACAAAGTTATTAAGCGTTAGACATTATTTTTTCTCTCTTCTATTCTTTGTCACTGTGTGCATCTCTCTGTGTGTGTTTCTATATGTGTACCTGTTGTTTCACTTCTCTCATGTTTACTTCTTGCAGGTTTTGTTGTATTTATTTGCCTCTTCCTTGACTATTCATGTGTGACAGCTGAATCAGGGGAAACATCAAACTGTACTGCTCAGTTGCTTCAGTCTCTTTCCTGGGTTTAGCACAGTAGCAGACACACTCAGCAACCAGCACACCAAAGAACACACACACACATACACAGAACAATGTTTGGCTCCAGGGTCTGCTTTGTATTACAAGGGGAAATCTTTGGTGGGCAAGTTGGTGTGTCAACTTGAGTTGAAAAGTTATGCTTCCTAACAATTGCAATGCAATATACACAATGACAAATATCAAAGAGTGAGGACATAAAATATGTACTATTTATTTTGCTCACTTGCCTCAAGAAAAAAAAAAACACCCCCAACATGCTGATTTGTGCTACTGTTGACCACTCTGTGTATTTCATTCAGCATGCGATATATATCAGGAGTTTTCAACCTGTGCTTAATCACTCACTCTGGGGACTCAGGTTCATTAACAAGCAGGTTGAGACCCATAAGCTCAGCTCATGTCAACCTTAAGTCTAAGAAACCAGGTTGTGCACGTCTTTGTCTTCCTGCCAAAGCACAACAGCATGATTCATCATTACCTAGCCAGCAGAGTAATACTGTGTGCTGTCAAGTGACAAGTGTAGAAGTTTGGCTGCAGTCCAGTACATCACTGTGGATCCCATTAAACTGTCCTGTGAACATCGACAGTACAGCACTGGTAAAGGGACAGCTGCGTATACACACCTGACATGTGACCCAGTCTTCAGCACAAATAACTAAACAGCTGAATAATAGGTTTAACCTGTTTGCTCACAGTGCACCGATGAGACAAACTGGGAAAAATGTTGGCCACGTCTCCTGGATAGTGACATTTTTATATCACACAGAGCGAAATATCATCCATGTCTAGCCCATAGGAAATATGCAGTAAAGAGGGGAAAAATAAGGAGTTGATTTACACCTGTGCACCTTTGATATGTTAAAGTACGTTTTAATGTGCCTGCTCACTGGGAGACATACAGTACAAACAGTCTGGGAAGTAACATCTGTTGTAGAAATAAATTCAAAGTGCCAACACTGGCAATGCATTCATGAGTTGAACCGTGTTTTTTTTTTTAAAAGGAAAAAAGTTCTCCTGTGTGTGAACTGACATGCAAAAGCATTTCACATGTCATAGGCTTCTTTTACCATGACTTTTTTCTGTCAAAAATGTCTTGACTTAAACATAAAGTTTGACAGTCCCTGTACTGAATACTTTCCCTACATCCCTACAGTTTTCATTTCATGTCTTTTCCCAAAAGTTTTTCACAGTATGATCTTATCTGTCCACTTCCTACTGCACTTCTAAGTAAATCTCTGGTTTGATCTGTGTATATTTTTGTGTGTATGTGACTGCTAGACTTCACTCACCTGAGTTTTCGTCCACCCTCTCTTCCACAGTATGGTCTTTCTGATGGACCCACTCACTGTTGCACTTGAAATAAATCTGCGTGGCAGGCGTTGCTTTGCAGTAGAGATTGACAGGTTTATTCTTGACAATGTATCCTTCCTCAGGTTCGAATAGGAAGTGAGGCAAGGGCTCCGGTGGGTCGGAGGGGAAGGTTTCCGGGAGTTCGCTCAAACTCAGGAAATCGTCATCATCTCTCACTGTGGGGAGAGGAAAAGAGAAAGTTCAATTTATGACAGTCACTGCTATTTAGTAGAGAATTTTTTTTTTCGTAGCTCAATCAGTCTTTGTTTTATTGACTCGCTTTGAGGCCTAACAGGGACAGACGTTGGTTCAGGGAGGAAATGCTGCATTCTTTCAATCGTTCATTATCGTTTTGTGATTCACATCAGTGAGCAGCATTGTCCCCTAAACTGAGTGTGTGCGAGACAATGTCGTTCCCATTTGATCACTAATAATTGCCATGTCTCAAGCCGGTGACCTGGACAGAGAACAATTTTCCTCCACTGAGCCATAAAATGCACCTTTAATCAGCACCTGACTGTTGTGTCCGTCTGTGGAAACCTTTTGGCTATCAGTCAGTTTAGTAAAAAAAAAAAAAAAGATACAGATTTTTGCGTCTCTGCAATCCTACACAGTGAAGGGTGTTATGGGTAGCCATAGGTTGTAGAGGCTTAAAGAGCAGCCAATGCACAAAGATCCCTATTTTAAAAAACGCATTGTACAACTCTTCCTGGACACACAAACAAAAATGCACACTTAACAGCACGACTACTTAAAAAAAATGTATTCACTTCGTGTCTGAGTTTGAGATCACATTCATACAATCCCAAAAGACACTTACTGATAACACAAGTGGGGTACCAAAACACACATAAACATACATACATATATATATATATATATATATATATATATATAAGTTTACACAATGTATTTAAAAGATGTCAGCCTATTTGTTCCATTGACTCCTGCCTTATAACTGTCTGCAAACCATCCCTCTTTTGTGGAGCATTGCATGGCATACTTTGACAAAAATGTGGACAGAATAAATTAGCTATGATAGCTTTTGCCATTTTAGAAATCTCTGACTCACTGTTTCCTGAAAGGTCAGTTCTGCCAGGATGGCTTGCTATTGGTCAACAGTGCTAATTTAGGGTTGAATGTTGACAAAAGTTCACCATGAAGAAAGAGCTTGTAGGCCTACTAATTTACTTTGCCCTAGCGAGTCAACTCAATAAACCTACGATTCATTGAAATTAATTGTTTTTGCTGAGAAAACACAAAGTAATCCTAATCAGAAGGCATTCAATTAAAAATGCTTTTAACCAATATTTTCTGCAAATAAGGATATAGGAAAGTAGAGAATGAATTGAGCAGGAGACGTAGCCTACAGACAGACAGACTGGAAGAAATAACTGAACAGAGTGCTCAATCGACCAACCCTGAGGGCACCAAGAACTTTATCCTACTCCTCCTCCATCCTGCTCTCTCTTCTCCACTGTCTTTTCAGTCTGTCCAACTTCACGCCCACCCGTGGCCTCAATCAAAGGGACCCCAAGAATGTTTTGTCACCAGGTTGCCAAGGTCACCAAAACACAGAAGATTACAAGAGCAGGTGGGAGGGAGGGGAAGAGAACTTTCTTTCTTTCTTTCTTTTTTTCTGATAGACACACATGCACACAAACACAAAGCACATTTACTTCTAACTTGTAATTTCCTTCCACTCCATCATCATCCAGTTTCATTAAGCCTGTCTGGACCTTTCCTGTATATGTGTGTGTGTGTGTGCCCCTGTGTGTGATTGCCTCACCTGGAGAGCTGTGACTCATGGGAAAATTGTAACACACGGGGCATTTTTGACACAGCTTCAAGGTTCAAACCCTTTTATTTATCCCTAATGTGTTATGGTTACAGTCACATATAAACACCGCTAACAAAAACAAACACACAATGGACAAAAAAAGGCAACACATAATTGCGCATTTATACGCCTGTGCACACATACACAATCTTACATTCCTGTGCCCTGACTGTGTGTGTGTGTGTGTAGTTGTGGTCCTTATCTTGGAGAATAGCAGTGTGCTGTGGGCTAGAAGCTAAAAGCAGCTTAGGTAAAACAACAAGACACAAATAAGGGAAAAATGAGTAGGCAGTGTGCCCACTTTGATGTCATGAAGCTGACATTTTCTCTCTTAGTTCTGTAATTAGTTCTCTGAGAGTATGGAAATTGGTAGACATTTTCACTGCATAATTTCATTATCTGTGGGAAATTTTCTCCCACACTTGGTTATTTATCCAGTATCATATTCATCCTGTTCTCAGTCAGCCTCTTTTCTCACTTGCTGCACTGCCTCCTCTCTTTCATTGCCATTTCTTGTGACTTTATGTTTCTCCACCACTCTGCTCTACACCCTCCTACCGCTCCCGCTTTTCACTTTGCCCCAACACCCATTCTCACCCTCATCTGTCATTCAGAAAGCTGGGGGTTTGGGGGGGGGGGTTCATTGCTCTGGAGCGACAGCTATAAAATATTGATTGGCACAAGAAACATGATAGCCAGAGAAAAGGGTGGGTGGAATTGAGAAAAGGGGAGGGATGGAGAGAAAATGTTCTCATGAATAAAAGCTTTCTTCATAAATGCCTATTATTTTCTCTCTTCTGCGCCATCCTTACTTCTGTGGTTCTCTACACCTTACACTTTTTGCTTCCCATCTGTTTTCCTCTTCCCCCTTCCTAAACCTTCTTCCTTCCTGTTTTCTCCTCCTCTTTGCCCCCACTCCTCTCTCCTTATCTCCTGACAGAGTGAATTACTGGTCCTAACAGCCCAGCTCATAAACGTCTTGCCTGAATGCTGTCATCAATAATGGATGGCTGTAGCAGAACAATGTCCAGATTCGATTTACGGTATGCAGTAAATATGTACCGGGGGCAAAGAACACATTTATTCCCTTGCTCGGGCCTGTAGGCTTGCCCACTTTAGAAAACCTACAAACCCAACCAATAAATGTCTGTAAATCTGCTAGGAATGTTGTCATCAGAGATGGCCAATCATGTTCAAGTGTCACAGACAATGTGAACTGATCTATTACATGGATAGAGAGATTGATGGATAAATGAGGGAAAAAAAGGAAAGAGGTAGACTGAGGAAGGAAAAATATAATGTTATTATTAACATTAGTGGACGTGGTCTGAAGTGACTTCTACTGCAAAAATAACAGAAAAAGAGGCTGCTCATGGTTATGGACAGTAGGAGCATGTTCCTACATTGTCGCGGTGTTGATCTGCAGGTGCTGAATTATCTCTTCCAGTATTTTCTATTTTAACTCCTAATAGTCTTACCAGCTCCTAATGGTTTATGTAGTGTTTGTGTGTTTTCTGTACTACTTGTGAAGAGTGAAAAGAGTGAAAGACTGAGATATGCTTGATATAGTTAATACTTTTTATGTTAGACAACCAATATTCACACTTATATGTCCCTGTGGATGGGGGCAGCAGCAAAAACATATTTTAGCCACCTGAAAAAAGACCCACCTAAAAATATTAAGTGCACTATATTTCAGATATTTTCAATACTTTACCTGTCAGACAGCCCGTTCTGAAGGGATACTTAAGCGTTTCTATCGCTCTCTCCAAACTGCTTTTCGCAAAAAAAAAAGTAATTTTGCCTCATAGAACGAAGGAGGAGTTGCTGGTCTACTGCTGCCTTGATCCACAGCAAATAACATTTGTTTGGATCCAATCTAATGTTTTAAAAACACCAAAGTCACACAATTACACGAACAAACTAACTGATTGAGTCAGCAGTGGACCAGCAACTCCGGTTTTTAATTATTAAATTAAATGTATTAAATTACTGTTTTTTTGTTTTGTTTTTTTCAAAAGGGGTCTGGCAGCTTTGAAGAGAACATGGAGTGATATAAACTCTTTAGTTTCCTGTTGGAAAGGGCTGCATGTCAGCAAAGTAAAGCGGTGAAAATATTTTCAATATAGTGTACACTTCAATGATATGAATTATCTTTTAACATCCGTGCTGGGACTCCTGTCTGCTGCTACTGTAGTTTATACACCAACTATGGATAAATACCTCATACAACTCCACTCCAAAAATCCAAACTATCCTTTTAATAGCAATGCTGATACGTAGCGCTCTAATATATTTTGTAATATAAGTGTTTTCAAGAGACTGAGGAATTCAGACGTATGCAACCATGTCTGCGACCTACAGCAAACGCAGCCATATAGGGTCAAAATGCCACATGGGTGAGAGTGTGGGTTTTGTATTTCTGTGTGTGTGTGTATATGTGTGTTAGGGTGTTCTCAGTAAGTGGTCTGTGATGTGTATCAGTGCAGTAGCCGTGGAAATCATGAGATCATACTTCTTAACTTCTTATCAGCTAGTTAGAATCAGCAGCAGCTGCAAAAACATATACGCGAACAGCAAGACAGGCACACACAACGTAAATAGACATACAAACTCTTAAAACCAGTACCCCTTCACCCCTAATCGTCTCTTACAACACACACACACGAACAGCTAAAAAAAAACAAAGCCGGAACGATCCCTATCTGTCTCAGACACTTGTGCTGCCAAATTCACACTTCTAGAGCCATAAAAATAAAACACACCTACACAAACACAAATGTGCGAAAACATTTGTGTACACTAAGACACATGGGCTCACATATTTATGATTTTTTTGGTATCCCTCTTTCTCTCTGACTCTCTCTTTCCATCAAACACACACACAGATTGTGCCACAAACACAGGAGAATACAAATACCAATTCTTGGCGCTCATATTACCCAGAGCTCCTGCCCACAAACATCCCCCAAAACACACACATAAACACCTTTATTCTTTATTATTAACACATCGAATTGAATAGACCTACTATAATCTTGAAAAGGTTCAGGGAGTTGAGAGCCATTGAGGGAGAGGTGGAAGAGAGTGAGTGAGGGATGATGGGACAGCAGGGAGCTAGTATATCATTGCTCTGAAATTAGATATATGATGCTGCCCATTTCCCAAACACACAGACAGACAGACACACAGGAAAACACACACACACACACACACAGAAATGTGCAGGCACAGAAAAACATGCAAACAGAAGGCACACAAGCATGCAAGCAAACCCACAAGAGCATATCTTCATCCTTTATCCATGCACGCACACACACCCAGGAGTGCAGCACA